ATAAACATATATGCACCCAATTCAGGAGCACCAATGTATATTAAAAATCTTCTGGAGGGCCCTGGCCAGTTTGGCTCAGCGGTTAGAGCGTCCGCCTGTGGTCCGGAGAGGCCCGGGTATGGTTCCCGCTAGGGGCATGTACCTCGGTTGCGGTTTGTCCCCGGCCCTGGTTGGTCGTGCGGGTGGCAGCCACTCGATGTGTCCCTTTCACATCGATGTTTCCCTCTCTCTCTCTTCCTCTCTCTCCCTCCCACTCTGTCTGTACAAAAAATGGAAAAATGTCCTCGGATGAGGATTAAAAAAAAAAAAATCTTCTGGAGGACTTCAAAGGAGAAATCGACAGGAATATAATCATAGCAGGGGACTTCAACACCCTGCTGATATCACTGAATAGATCCTTTAGACAAAAAATTAGCAAGGAAACAGAGACTCTAAATGAAGCACTAGAACACATGGATTTAATAGATATCTACAGAGAATTACATCCCAAAACTACAGAATTCACATTCTTCTCAAGTGCACATGGGACATTCTCAAAGATAGACCACATGATAAGACACAAACTAAATCTCTACAAGTTCAAGAAGATTGAAATCATATCAAGCATCTTCTCAAATGACAATGGCATGAAATTGGAAATCGCAACAAGAACATACAAAGACATTTGAGCACATGGAGGCTAAATGGCATGTTATTGAACAATGAATGGGTTACCATGGAGATCAAGGAAGAAATTAAAAACTTCCTGGAATCAAATGAAAATGAACACACAACAACACACAAAAAAATCTATGGGATGTAGTGAATGCAGTTCTGAGAGGGAAGTTCATAGCACTACAGGCCTACCTCAAGAAACAAGAAAATTTTCTAATAGACTATCTAACCTCACAACTTAAGGAATTAGAAAGCAAACAAAAAGAAAACCCCAGAGCAAGTAGAAGGAAGGAAATAGTAAAGATCAGAGCAGAAATAAATGACATAGAGACCAAAAAAAGAATTCAAAGGATCAATGAAACAAAGAGCTGTTTTTTTGAAAATATAAACAAGATTGATGGACCCTTAGCTAGACTCACCAAGAAACAAAGAGAGAGAACCCAAATACACAAAATCAGAAATGAAAGAGAAGTAATAACTGACACCACAGAAATACAAAAGATTGTTAACAAATACCATGAACAATTATATGGCAAGAAATTCGACAATCTAACCAAAATGGACAAATTTCTAGAAACACATATAGTCTCGCAAAACAGGACTAGAAAACTTGAACAGACCAATAACAACTAAGGAAATTGAAGAGGTAATCAAGACTCTCCCAGCAAACCAAAGCCCAGGCCCAGATGGCTTCATGGGGGAGTTTTACCAAACATTCAAAAAAGAACTAATATTCATTCTCCTCAAACTATTTCAAAAAATTCAAGAAGGAAGACTTTTAAACTTGTGTATGAGGCCAGCATAAATCTAATTCCAAAACCAGAAAAAGACACTACAAAGAAAGAGAACTACAGGCCAATATCCCTGATAAATATAGATGCCAAAATCCTGAACAAAATACTAGCAAATTGAATCCAGCAATACATCAAAAAAATTATTCACCATGACCAAGTGGGATTCATCCCAGAGATGCAAGGCTGGTACAATATTCGCAAACCAATAAATGTGATACACCACGTAAACAAAATGAAGAATAAAAACCACATGATCATATCAATAGATGATGAAAAAGCATTTGACAAAATCCTGCATCCATTTCTGATAAAAACGTTCAGCAATGTGGGAATAGAGGGATCATATCTCAACATAATAAAGGTCATATATGAAAGACCTACAGCCAACATCATTCTCAATGGGCAGAAACTAAAAGCATTTCCCTTAAGAACAGGAACAAGACAAGAATGTCCACTTTTGCCACTCTTATTTAACATAATAATGGAAATCTTAGCCACAGCAATCAGACAGGAAGAAAAAATAAAAGGGATCCAAATTGGAAAGGAGGAAGTGAAACTGTCATTATTTGTAGATGACATGATATTATACATAGAAAACCCTAAAGATTCCATCAAAAATCTAGACTTAATAAATGAATTTGGCAAAGTAGCAGGATACAAAATTAACGTCAAGAAATCGATGGCATTCTTATACACCAATGATGAACTCACAGAAAGAGAAACTGAAAAAACAATCCCATTTACCATCGCAGCAAAAAAATTAAGATACCTAGGAATAAACTTAACCAAAGAAGTAAAGGACCTGTTTGCAGAAAACTACAGGACATTGAAAAAAGAAATAAAGGAAGATATAAAAAAAATGAAAGCACATACCCTGCTCATTAATTGGAAGAATTAACATCATTAAAATGTCCACATTACCCAAAGCAATCCCCATCAAAATACCAATGACGTACTTCACAGAACTAGAACAAATACTTCTAAAGTTCATGTGGAACCAAAAAAGACCGTGAATAGCCACAGCAATCTTGAAAAAGAAAGATAAAGTAGGTCGGATCATAATACCAGATTTCAGGTTATACTACAAAGCTACTGTAATCAAAACAGCTTGGCACTGGTACAAGAACAGGCATATAGACCAGTGAAATAGAACAGAGAACCCAGAAATGGACCCAAGACATTATGCTCAATTAATATTTGACAAAGGTGGCAAGAGCATACAATGGAGTAAAGACAGCCTCTTTAATAAATGGAGTTGGGAAAATTGGACAGCTACATGCAAAAAAATGAAACTAGACCATCAACTTACACCATACACAAAAATAAACTCAAAATGGATAAAAGACTTAAATGTGACCTGTGAATCCATAAAAATCCTAGAAGAAAAGGTAGGCAACAAAATTTCAGACATCATACGCAGCAGAATTTTCACTGATACATCACCTAAGGCAACAGAAACAAAGGAAAAAATGAACGCATGGGACTACATCAAACTAAATAGCTCTTGCATAGCAAAAGAAACAACCATCAAAATGGAAAGGCAACACACTGTGTGGGAGAGCATAATTACTAATGATATATCAGATAAGGGGTTAATTTCCAAACTATATAAAGTACTCATATAACTCAACAAAAGGAAGATAAAAACCCAATTAAAAAATGGGCAGAGGAGCTGAATAGACACCTCTCCAAACAGGACTTACAAATGGCCAAGAGACATATGAAGAAATGCTCAACATCACTAATCATCAGAGAGATGCAAATTAAAACAACAATGAGATATCACGTCACACCTGTCAGAATGGCCACCATCAACAAATCATCAAACAAGTGTTGGCGAGGGTGTGGAGAAAAAGGGACTCTAGTACACTACACTGCTGGTGGGAATGCAGACTGGTGCAGCCACTATGGAAAACACTATGGTGTTACCTCAAAAATTTAAAAATTGAACTGCCATTTGACCAAGTGATCCCACTTCTAGGAATATACCCTAAGAAGCCTGAAACACCAATCAGAAAGAATATATGTACCTCCATGTTCATAGCAGCACTATTTATAATAGCTAAGATCTTGAAATAGCCTAAGTGTCCATCAGTAGACAAATGGATAAAAAAGCAGTGGCACATATACACAATGGAGTACTATGCAGCTGTAAGAAAGAAAGATCTTATCCTTTGAGACGACATGGAGGGACCTGGAAAGTACTATCTAAGCAAAACAAGCCAAGCAGAAAAAGGCAAATACCACATGATCTCACTTATTTGCAGAATATAATGAACATAACATTCTGACGAATAGGGTAGACCCAGAGATGTGGAGGTAGGATACAGACTGACAACCCTCAGAAGAGGGGGTGGAGGGAGGATAGAAGAGATAAACCACAGAACTTATATGGATTTATGCATAACCAACGGACATGGACAACAAAGCCAGGGACGGTATAGGGGAGATGGGGAGGAGAGTGTCAATGAGGTAAAAAAGGAGAAACATCTGTAACAAAAATAAAATTAAAAAAACCAATGAAAGAAACTGTGAGCACAACAAGAAAAATAAAATAAAATCAATCAATCAGTCAATCCATCAATCAATAATAAAGCGTGGCTGCCAAATACTATTTGTTTGGACAAAAATCAGAGAGCAAATTGAGACCTGACCCACAGCTATTTAAGTCAAATAGGATACCAATTTCTCCAAAACGACCTGGAAAGATATCTTTAAGCAGATATTGATGAGAACAATGAGATACATGAGCATGAATGGGGCACTGGGCGATAGAAGAATGTTGAAATAGAGAACCAGTTTCCGCTGTGAAATGGAGAGAAAACAAATTCACAGGAGCTAACTCCTACCCTAGAGTCTTCCGGTGAAGAGTCAGAAGTGAATTGGGTGAAAGAAATTTGCAATGAGACAAGAACATTTCATTTTAGTTACAGTTCACTCAAAGAGAGCTTGCAAATTTTAGTATATTGCAAAAATATATCAACAATTATTTATGTCAGAAAATGTTGGCTCTAACAAATCAGTTACTTATACAATATAGCAAAAAAAAAAAAAAAAAAGCAACTGAAAATAAAGTACGTGTACTTGGGAAAGCATGGAGTATAAATGCCATTGCAACTATTAGTTTTCTATATATAATTCTAATTATCAGTGAAGGTTGTATTGCCACCCCCACCTAAGAGTTACTAGTACACATACATGCCAGGAAGTTGCAATTTCTTTCTTTCATAACAGTTCTTTCTGTGTCACTAACTAAATGACAGAGGACAGCCCTTGTTTCCCCCTAGATTCTCCTTCCTGGTGGCAGGCAGTCAGTTCTTCCTCTGGGTGCCTGACCTAGAGAGGCAGTGACGAAGGCCGGTGGTCAGCGGTCCCCTACCCGTTCCCGCCAAAGCAGTGGTCCCCGCTCAGCCGTTGTTAAATAATTTGACTATCACCTTCGAACAGATGTCCCTTATTTTCTTAGAAGAAGGAAAGCATCCGTGCAATTTCAAAGGATAAAATATGTACACACAATTTTATTCAACATTTTATATTATGCTACAAATATGTACAGTTTCAATAATAAATTAAAAATAAATGTTCATAGACACCATGTCACTCAATGCCATTTTTCTGCCTTCATTTGTAAGACTTCCTCTGACCCCAGGTCCCGATCGTCTTCCTGCGGGAAGCACTTGTTTAGGGGGCACGCTGGGAATGCCAAGTGTTCCACCGCCTCTGAGCGAGGGGAGATGTTTGCAAATAAAAGAAACGATGAGGAGGATCATGGCGATCAGGATGTGTTGATGAACATTTGCACAATTTGCACAAAACTCCTCAGAAATTCTTTAACATTTTTTTCCTCCAGTTCCTCACATTCTTTGCATCCAGATTCAGTTATGTTCTGCCAAATTAAGAAAAAGAAAAACAATTAGAGTGGAAAGTCTGATCTATTTCTTTCCTGGGAATATCACATCATTTGAATCATCTGGAGAGGTCTGGAGACATGAAAACTTGGGGAAATGAATATCATATTAGGAAGAACTGGGGGATTTTATGTAGGTTTATTTTTCTTGTAGCAGATTAAGGGCATGGCCGGGGGGAAGGCAGCAAGCCCTGGCCGGTTTGGCTCAGTGGTTAGAGCGTCAGCCTGCGGTCCTGAGAGACCCGGGTTCGGTTCCCGCTAAGGGCATGTACCTCGGTTGCAGTTTGTCCCCGGCCCTGGTTGGGTCGTGTGGGTGGCAACCACTCGATGTGTCCCTTTCACGTCGATGTTTCTCTCTCTCCCTCTTTTCTCTCTCCCTCCCACTCTACCTGAACAACAAAAAAAGGAAAAATGTCCTCGGGTGAAGATAAAAAAATAAATAAAAAGCCATGTGGATCAGACTATGGGCTCCCTGCCTAGAGTCCTTCAGTGTTTCTGATCATCTCCCGTAGACGGAAGTCCCCGCCTCCCAGCAGGGCACACAGGCCCTCGGTGAACCATTCCTCACTACTTCTCATCCCTTTTCCCGCCGCCTCGAACCTGACGCCCCGGACACAGTGAGCTCGCGCCCTGGTCCCACACACAGCCATGCCACTAGAGTCTCCCTGCCCGTCCTCTTCTCTGCCTGGTCAACACTTCCACTTCACTGCTACCACTCACACCTCAGCTCTCAGCCCTGTCTCCGCCGGGCTGTTTGTCCCGAAGCCGGGAGCTCCCGTGATCAGGCTACCTGTCCCACTGCTACAGTCTCAGAATCCCTGCGTCAGCTTCTCCCTCACAGCATGTCGCGTGTTACACTGATGTTCGGAAGTTTTCTGCGTTCTATACGACTGTTCTCTACAGTCCTCCAGGAGAGCAAGGCCTGGTATTTTTGTTTCCCTAACGTTCGGCACAGGGTCTTGCACACAGGATGAACACAGTCGTCGCTGGCTCAATCGACCTGCTTAGGTGAATTCCACAAATCATTGTAATGCAAACACAGTTTCACAGATAACTAGAATATTCCAAATGTAGCAATCATCAATACACGCGAAAGCTGTACCAGCAAAAATCAAAATTAGATTCTATATCCATTAAGCACTTGAAATTCAGATTCAGCAATATTTATCAAGCACAGAGTCCATGGCAGGCACTGTCATATTCCATATCATGCTGTCCCATTTAATCCTGGAAATAATCATGTCAGATAGCGAGGCAGAGATATTAAATGACTCATCTCATTTGACATAATCCATGAAATTCTCCACATCCAGGTATTCCTTCTACTACATGTACCACACATGTCATGATGAGGGTGACTATGAGCATCGCATCAAAGAGTTGACCATTGATACTGTTATGATTTGTTACATGGCTCAGTCTTTCTATCAATAAGACAGAGATAACATATCACAAGAGTATTTAAAACATGAATCTATTCATTTTATAAATATATTTAGTAACTAGTATATGCCAGGCATTATTGTGGGAATTGGGATACAGCACCCAAAATGAAAATAAAACCTGCCCCTTTGAGGCTGATACTCTTGTAGGGAAAAGCAGACAAAGTTCATTAGGTAAAACACATAGTGTGTCAGAGAGTGACAGCAGCAGAGGAGGGGACACAGCATGCTGACGTGGACATGGGACTGCAACTGGAAGGTGGTGACATCGCTGAGAAGATGACACTTAGGCCAAGACTTGCAGCAGCCTGGAATTCTTAGGGAAAGATCTAAGGTGTCCAGCCACACTAGCTTAGGGTCTTTGCACTCTGAGTTGTCCCCCCTGAACTTTCTTCCCATCGAGTATCCTGGAAATAATGTTCTGAAGTTTTCTGCATTTTATACGACTGTTCATTCCCTCGCATCTTTGCCAAATGTCAGCTGAGTAGGTAACCCTTCCCGGAAGGAGACTAGCTGCCTTCTTTCTGGCCACGGGACTTAGTGAATAACTGACTTATTGTTCGCTTGCTTATTGATTGGTTTATTCATGCTTCCTCCCTCCGTAAGAGCAGGGACCGTCCATGTTTTTTTCACTTCTATTTTCCTGAGGGCCTACAATGGGGCCCAAATGATATTTGTTAAGTTAATTAATTATTATTATGTCTTCTTTGTTCATAAAACTTCTTTCCATCCACTTTGCTTTGGCCACTAGGGTTTTGCCACGAGAGCCACAATCCATTGTACCGCAGGGCCTTTGCATAGCTGCCCTCCCAGCCCACCATGGGAGTTCCCGGTATTTGCCCTCCTGGAACACTGTACTTCTCGGGTTGTCTGGGGTAGTCCAAATTACTAATATTCAACACTCAGATTAATATTTATATTAGTATCCTTTCAGTAAAGAAGACAGGCTCTGAGGTGAAACTGCCTGGGGGGGGGGTCTGAATCCCGGTCCCCCATTTTCCCAGCTGCGTGAATTGGAGGAGGTGCTCCTATTTCTTCAGCCTCAAAACAGACGAGGATGACTACTTCACAGATGCATTGTGAGGACGACTCGGTGGACTTAACCCTTGAAGAATGGTGTCTGGCAGAGTAACAGCCCAATAAACATGGATTACTATTAACCATGCCAAACCCTTCAGTATGTAATTAGGTTAATGTCTATCCACTGCACCTGGTGATAAACACCTGGAGGTAGCGACCTGACTGGTTCACCACTGTCACTCGAACACCGAAGCACACTGCCTGGCACCATGCGCACACATCTGCTGAATGAATAGAGCCATGGGCGGTTCAGGACCGTGTGCACACTAGTGATGCTGCCGCTCCCGGATGCCACTCCCCTGGAAGGGACGCCCTCTTTCTGGGGGGTCTGCTTGGCCGTTATATCCAGCTCATGGCTTCTCCCGGGCAGGCCAGAAACACCTGCTGTAACTGGATGGGTGTCAGATAACTCACCCCATTCGAAGATAAACTGCTGTTTGCTAGGATGATAAGGTTTTCTATCGTATCTCTAATGTCCATATTATTCGACTCTTGCCAAATAACGTGTAACTCCAGGAGAAAGCACTTCATCGCCGTTACTTTGCAATTGGGCTGAAAAGAAAGTTACGAAGAACCATGTCGAAAAACAAATTATTTTTCTCATGTTGCATTTTCACGTTAGAGACAACTTTGATTTTTTACAAAGTCAGTGCAACTCTTTTATAAAGAAACACAGTACACCTAACAAGTTTTACATAGGAAGCGGCTTGATTTCCTTTGGCTTTCAAGTGGAAATCGAAACAAATGATGACAAGGCAATCAAGAAGGATGATGACACTGTGCCGAAGACAGAATGAAACTAGAAAATGTGGGATTCAGAAACCACCCTTACTCACAGAGCACCTTTGCCCATGTGAAAGAGTGACGATACTGGCCCGAGCCTAAAGACGCCAGCATCAACAGCGGGAGAGTTTTTAGGTTCAGGTTGTACTGCTAACATGTGAAACAGTGCTAGCCGCAAGTTCCAAAGTTTCAGAGGCAGATGGACTTCCAGGCAGTTTATTAGAAAAGTCAAAGCAGGGGTAGTTTCAGGTTGGCCAAATCAGAAAGATACCTTTTAGGTATCACAAAAATACATTTTCCACAAGGATCACCTAAAAAAAAACCTAAACTAAAAATCAGAGAGGCACTTCATGAATGTCTGGGGACCTGCCCCTGCTTTGCAGGGTGCCTAGGACCCACAGGCTCTGAGCAAACACCTCCTGCACAGGCGAAGAGAGCACAGGCACACCCCGGAGCCGTGCGCCGGCACACGGCGGCCACTCCTTTCCTGGCGATTTTGCTTCCCAAAAACGTTAAATGAAAAATTCCAGAAATAAACAAGTCCTAGGGCATGGCTCTATGATCCTCCTGACGTATCTTCAGAAGGTCACTAGTAGCTTAACACTAGGTCAAAATGCTACCCCAGCCCCTTCGCTCCATCCGATCCCACGGGCATTGGATCATCTCACGTCATCATAAGAAGGGTGAAGACAGTACATGAACATGTTTGAGAGAGAGAGAGGCCATATTTATATAACATTTTTTATAGTATATTGCTGTAATTGTTCTATGTTGTTATTTATTGTTGTTAATCTCTTACTGCTCCTAATTTATAAAATAACTTTAGCATATGTATTTAGGTATGTACAGGGAAAAAACGTAGTGTATATAGAGTTCAGTACTATCCATGGTTTCAGCATCCACTGGGGGTCTTGGAAGGTATCATATCCCCCATGGATAAGGGGGACCAATGTATTCCTTTTCCCCCACAGCAGCTGCTCAGGATAGGAAGAGTAAATACTGTCACCAAGATGCTAATAAAATAAACAATAAATAAAATAGAACCACAGTTTAGTGACTTCCAAGGTAACACAGCTAGAAGTGGCTGAGTCAGGATTTAAGTCGCAACGTCAGCCTCAGCTTCTTCGTACAACCCATGAGTTGCAGAGTTATCTTCTGTGCAAAAGAAGCAATTTCAGGGTGCTGATTGTTGGTGGTTCACTGACTGCTTTCTACTTTGAAAAAAAAAAATGCAAAGAAAAATGGAAAACATGCTGAAGCCAGAGGGAGATGATTTCTGTGTGCACAGGACTATCCAAGTTTTGGGCTATGGCTTGTTTCCAATACGTGGAAAGCCCTGGTGGGGGCAAACCCTTCTATTTCAGGGAATTAATTAATTGAGGAGTAACAGAGAGGAGTCACTGTTCTAAATAATACATACCACAGAGTTTGTTTTCCATGAGGTGAAGAAGTCAGGATCTGTTTCTGGATTTTTAGTAACCAATCAGGAGGGAACGGACCAGCGGTATAACTGAAATCATTCATGCCTTAGGCAATGCCAGTGTGTTCACAGAACAAGTTCAGGATTATTTTTGTAAATTCTGATAGGTTTTGTGGGTGGTGTCTGTTTCTTTTCTCACAGAGTAACCAGACAGAATCCTTTTCTGACAATTGTAGAGATTCAGGCGAAATGTGGGCCATCAATGCATTTAAGCAATTTGTAGGAAATACGATTAAATATAGTAATATACTACAGCACTGGGAATGACTGATATGCTGGAGACTTTTCAACGGAATCAGTTAACCTGATTCTTGCATTTAATCGCATCATGAGCTAATTGCATCACAAAATTATGTAATACAGTTTGTTTGACATTGATGGAAAAGGCTTTTATAGATTTTACAAAAATAGCATCTATGTAGCTTTTGTTCCCAAGTCCCCCAATTTCAACTATCACTCATAAAATTTCATTGATCATATAAGAAAACACCAAAACTTAGATTTTAAAGCCATACATATTTTAGTAAATTTATATAAATATACTTCTTAGACTTTTGAAAACTGGAAAATATAGTGATTGAAAAAAACATCTATACTCACATGAGCATTATTTTCAGTATATAAATTGGCATCGATATGTATAGACTGGAAGTGAAAAAGCGAGATAATGTGAGAAACCAGGCACTGCTTTAGATGTTAATAATGAGAACAACCTACTGATGTATTTCAATTAAGCTTTTTAAATTAAATCCTGTGATATAACTTTAGATTCACGTACAACTATAAGAGAAAATACAGTGAAATGCTGTGTACCCTTCACCGTTTCCCCCCCATGGTAATACCCTGCATAACCATAGTACAGGATCACAACCAGAAATTACATTGATACAACTGCCCACCTTGTTTGGGCCTCACCAGCTTTGTGTGCACTAAAGTGTGTGTGTGTGTGTGTGTGTGTGTGTGTGTGTAGCTTTATGCAATTTTATCAGTGGTTTTGTATTTCAGTTGTTATATTTTTCTTTTCTGTAATTTCTATTTAGTTCCTGTTACATGTCGCATTACTCTGCTAAGACTTCCTGATTTTTTTCAGTTGTTTCAAGAATATCGGTGATTGCCTGCTGGTGCACTTTTATGATGGCTGCGTGAAAACCCTGTCTAATCAGAGTCTATTTACTATCTTCTCGTCCAAGCTGTGATTTTCCTGCTTCTCGATATGATGAGAGATGCTTCACTGTATTCGGGTATTGGGGCTATTGCATTGGGAGACCCTGGTCCGATGTAAATGTTCTAATGTAGCCTGCAGACATCTTGACTAGGTTTAGCAGGCAGGTTCTGACCTATGTTTGTGTGCTAGGATCCCAAGGGTGGTTCAGTTTCCAGAATTTTTGTGGTGCTAATTTGGAAGGGTGGCTCACTTCATGCCCCTGGGACCCCCCTGGTCACTGCTGTGTCGCCCACTGGGACAGAAGACACTTCCTCAAACACCTTTGTCAGCGGGCTCCTGGCCTCTGCTCCTTGCATCCTGCAGGTTCTAGCAGGCCAGCAGGTGACTTCAGGCTGGAGAGGCTTTCCCAGTGTCAGGCAATTGTCCTTGCAAGTGCCACCCAGGTGTCTGCTTTCCCGAGTAGCGGAGGGGGTCCCCGGGCTGTGGCGCCAGAGGTCTCCACGCTGGGCCACTCGTGGACTGGGCTCGAGATAATGAGGGTCTCAAAACTGTACGTAAAAGATTTCATCGGAGGCTTCACAAGGCTCGCTACTGTCTACAAAAATATTATTGTTTCAAGTGAGACTGCATTAGGACTGACAGCAAAACTCAGGGACTGGCCACTACCATTGGTACAGCAGTTATACCAGACACTTCATGGAAGAATCGGTACTTACTTGAATGAGATCTTCAAATCTTTGCAAATCACTTATTACATCATGCCAGTTCGCCTCTGTTTTGGGAAGACTTGCACTGATACAGCTGAAAGCAAAAACCAGACAGCAAAGCATGTTGAATGAACCTAATGTTGTCTGATAAGCACTAAAGGCAAAGGAGCAAGAACTTCTCTCCTGACTGGTGAAAAAATGAGTGTTATCCCTGCCTTTGCGCCGTCAACAGCCCTGCAGACGACCAGAAATACAGAACACATAGGACAACTGTGACACTTTAAGCTAACTTGGGGACGGACCAGCCTGGGTTAGGAAAAAAAGCCTAATTTGAAGGGATAACTTGTCAAAAGAGGGTGCGATTTATTACAATGGAATAAAAATAGGACCTGATGTGGCAGGGTTCACTAAATGTTTTTGAATGACTTACTAGTTTTCTTTAAGTAAAGAGCCCATTGGGCTTTTAAGTCGAATAAATAGGTAAAATTCTTAAGATGAGCAATAATCGCTTTCCGGTAAGGATGCTAGGTTTCTATGTTCTTTCCAGCCCATCAGACCTGGACCGTGCTTGCAGCTGCTTATCCATCAACATCACACACTTCAGCCCGATCCAGGCTGACTGCTCATGGACTTACACACTTTGGTAAAACAGACGTTTAAAATCTGGACAAAAAACACTTACACTGACCAAGTGACAATGGAATGATTCTTAAAGCTTCACAGAAAATAGCTGCTCCCTGATGGATTTCTATAGGAGCATGGGAACCAACACCGACCTTTTCTTGCGAGGAAGATTTACCTGCACAAATCTAGGGCTCCCCACACCGTGAGGTAAAAAGCAGAGGGGCTCTGAACTGAGCCAGAGCACAGATCTACGGGCTGGCTGCTTAGGCCAAGGGCGCAGTGTGTTAGTTGCATCTAAGAAAGAAGAAAGAGGTTCACAGGCATGGGCAAATATGTTTGTCAGGAGGAAAAATAAAAGGTTTAAAGAAAGAAAGAAATGCTTCCGAATGAACTGGGCTAGGGCTCAAAGGGTAGCAGAAATCAGTGCCAGGAAATAGACAGAAAAGTAACATGAGCATGTCCTAAATGTCTTTTTTTTTTTTTTTTTTACTGCAAGGAAAATCACGTAGGCTATTAATAAGAAAAGTACGTCCAAGTGTAGTTATATTCCAAGAGGTCCAATTTTTCTGCAGAATGAGAATACTCCTTTCTATGCTGCTAGAATATAGAAATGCTCAGCGTTTACCAAACTTCCTTGGATCTCCATCACCTGCTCTCTGTAATGCCCCAAATACTGACAACCTAAGTTATAAGCGAACCGAACATAAACCAATTTCATAGAGAAGAGAGTGAAGCATAATGATCGTGGCCACTAGCATGATGATATGCATACCAAAGATAAAATTACCCCAAAATGAAGACATGAATGCCAGCCTCGGTTAAAAAATGAATGTTCAGAAGTAAACACAAATAGCACTGGATGGACGTACTTCTCAAGTATGGTTTCTGAAAATATAATCATAAAGAAAATGATTAGTTTTATTTAGTTAAAAAGTGATATTTAAATTAGTAGTTTATCAGCTCTTTAAATCAAAATTGAAGAATTCATCTTCCTTATCAGAATAAACAAAACTAGACTTTATCTGTTTTGTTCCCTCCCTTCCAGTTTCGTTTCCTGTGGGCAAAAATCTTTAATATGTTTGTAACACATATGAATTTTAAGAAAATTTACCAATCTCCTAATATCACCACTAATTTTTTTATTATCCTTAATCTCCCTCTCATTTTTCTTTCATTTTTAAATGGTTTAACATATTTTATACAGCAGAGTAATAACAAATTACTAATATAGGTTTATAGTTCTATATTAATTTCATGTAACTATATACAAGTTAATTATAAAAAATATCATAGAGAAAAAATTGGATAGAAATGGAACCAACTGGAGATACCCTATGCCATCATGAGAACCACCATAAAATAGGTTTTCTTGGTGATTTAGAAATCTCACCTATCTTAGGACTTCCCAGAGTTTTGGTACTTTTGTCTGTCTCTTTCATGTTGTCAAAGCTTTAGAATTTCAGATATCAGTGTTGACTGTCACCTTAACCACTAAGAATTTGTGATTCATTTAGTCTACCCTGAAATGATGAGTAACACCCAGACTATACAATTCACCAAGGAGTATTTAAAGAACAATAGGGTAAGACAAGTGAAATAATCCATTTATAAGACATGAAGAGCATATCAAGGTTGTTGTTTTTTAAATATATTTTCATTGATTTTAGAGAGAATGGAAGGGAGAGGAAGAGAGAAACATCAGAAACATGGATGAGAATGAAGCATGGCTCAGCTGCTTCCTGCACGCCCCCTACTGGGGATTGAGCTTACAACCTGGGCATGTGCCCTGACGGGGAATCAAACCAGCAACCTCTTGGTGCATGGAATGCTCAACCAACTGAAGCACACTGGCCAGGGCAAGGTTGCTAAGGGAGCTAAAAAAACTATTATACAGGGTGTCCCCAAAAAATGTATACAGGGTGTCTTTGGGTTCTATTACATTTTGAAATGAAATGCATCTTAATAAACTCTGGTTTTATAATTATTCAAAGTTGTGTATACATTTTTGGAGGACATCCTATACTTACTTTTTTTTATCCTCACCCGAGGACATTTTTCCATTTTTTATTCAGACAGAGTGGGAAGGAGAGAGAGGGGGAGAGAGAGAGAGAGAGAGAGAGAGAGAGAGAGAGAGAGAGAAGCATCGATGTGAAAGGGACACATCGAATGGCTGCCACCTGCACGACCAACCAGGGCCGGGGACAAACTGCAACCCTGGTACGTGCCCTTACCGGGGGCCAAACCTGGGTCTCTCCAGACAGTAGGCCGACTCTCTAACCCCTGAGCCAAACTGGCCAGGGCTATACTTACTTTCAAGATAAGAACAATCCATGTATAAAGAGGCATGTGTTACAACCCAAGATCTTTAAATATTTTTTTAAATATGTTTTTATTGATTTTTTTTAGAAGAAGAGAGAAATAGAAACATTAATGTGAAAGAGAAACATCGATTGGTTGCCTTCTGCACACACCCTACTGGGGATTGAGCCCGCAACCCGGGCATGCGCCCTGACCAAGAATCAAACTGGGACCTCTCAGTCCATGGGACGATGCTCAGTCCATTGAGTCACACCACCCAGGCACATGCCAAGACCTCTGAAGAAGAGTTATATTATGCCCTGGTTGGTTTGGTTCAGCAGTTAGAGCGTTGGCCCGTGGACCAAAGACTCACAGGTTGTAATTTGATCCCCAGCCCTGGCTGGGGGTCGTGCAGGAGGCAACCAATCGATATGTCTCTCTCACATCAATGTTTCTCTCCCTCCCTTCCGCCCTCCCATTCTCTCTGAAAACCAATGGAAAAATATCCTCGGGTGAGGATTAAAAAAAAAAAAAAAAAAGAGTTATTTTATGAAATATCTGAGATTTAAGTGACCTTTTAGAAAAGTCCATACACCATCTTCATCTAGTTATTCTTACCGAAATTCTCATTACTCAATGTCCGGGAAAATCCTTGAACGTTGAAGAGGAGCTGGCTATGGCAGGGGGCTTCCGGCAGCAATCCATCCAGAAAAATCCCTGCAACACAACCCAGAGAGAAGCAGGACCCACTAAAACACAAGGAAACCAGTGGGGTGGGGGTGGAGAAGAGGAAAGGAATTAATATTGATTGAGCACCTACTTTTTTTTTTTTTTTTTTTATCCTCACCCGAGGACATTTTCCCATTTTTTTGTTCAGGTAGAGTGGGAGGGAGAGAGAGAGGAACAGAGAGAGAGAGAGAAACATCGATGTGAAAGGGACACATCGAGTGGCTGCCACCCGCACGACCAACCAGGGCCGGGGACAAACTGCAACCGAGGTACACGCCCTTAGCGGGAACCGAACCCGGGTCTCTCAGGACCGCAGGCCGACGCTCTAACCGCAGAGCCAAACCAGCCAGGGCATACTTTTTCATGGGCACTGTGTTAGTCACTTAGTATAGGCATCGCCTTTAATCCTCACAACAGTCCTATGGAGGAGGGTTAGCAGCATTTGGCAAGCTTCCCGGGCCCCACAGAAAGTATAAGACAGCCAGGATTTGAGACCAGGTGTAATTATAAAGCCCAAACCCTATCCACTACATGAAGGTCCTGAACTGGCAAATTCTAAAGTGATATTAGTGAAAGAAGCAACAAAATATCTGGGTTCAGAAAAACTTCTGACGATTTAATTTTCAGCAGAAGTGGCTGAGTCTCCAAAAACAAACAGATGTTTTCAGTGTCGGCAATTGTGAAAGAGAAAACCTCAGGCCCCACATGGCATCACTTGTGCTAAAGTCCATGATAACGAACTTAGACTTAACACTTGACTTAATTACTGTTCCACATTTTCTCAGAAATATAATCTTAATTACCCAGTATGGAATTTTCTGCTCAACAAGGAGATAACCTGTTACGTGGACCTTCTCCATCTCCCCTAGAAAAGAGAGTCAGACTGCCTGATAAAACTGCCTTCCTTCCTCCCACCCCCCCAAAAACAGATGTCCTGGTCTCAATATAAACCTTTCTCTTTTAATTCGTGAATAATACACTAAATCCAATTAGACCTTCACATTTATTCAGTTGAATTTTGTTCTTTAACAAAATGATGTTAACTGAAACATCATTTGAGAATTTTATAAGTAACAAGATTATATTTTTCTAACTCAGAGAGGTAAACAATGTGATCACACATTTCCATATTTGATTCCATTTATTTAAAAAATTTAAAACAGACCATATAAAATATAAACAATGATTTTTTTCTCTCCTTTTAAAATAGCATGTATTTGTTGAACTCTCCTGTAAAAATAAAAATCCACTGTGTCCCTTCATATAAAGATTCACTGCAGTTAAATTCTATAAATTCAAATGAATAATTTTATTTTTTATGGCCTGAAACATAAAAACATAAAAATGATTGCTCTTAAAATATATAATTCTTAAAAGGAAAAACCAGTATTTATCTAGGTATTAAACAAGATACTATAAGAGTATATCCAACAAGGAAGATTCCCCCACAACAACATATTACATTTAATCCTTCTGTTACATAATCTAAATCACTCATTAATTGGTTTAATTAAAGCAAATTCTCCTCTTTTATTCTCATAAGCATTTTCATAGTCTATATTATCTCAGTGCTTCAAATTTTTTTTTTATAAAACCTCAAAATTGTTTTTGTAGTTTCACCCAATGTCTCTTATATTCCCCACCTCGTTTTTCAGTTGTGGTAACCCAAACTCCATATTGTTCCAAAACCAGTGTCTATCAGCTTGAAACTGAACAGCACAAAGGGTGACAGGACTGTTCCCAGGCCTTCGGAAGCTCCCTGAGGAGACAGTGTGACCGGGGTCCTGGATTTCAGCAGTGAGTCTCGGACCAGTACGGTGTTCAAGCCACAGGGAGCCTCCCTGCCCTGCCCAGCTACCTCCAGCCGGTGTAGGTCCAGGAAGACCAAGTGCCTTACCCAGAATGCTCTACGCAAGCATGTGGAATGAGCAGCAAAGGCCTCGAAATCTAACAGAATAATGATAATGGAGACCAGTGTAGCTAAAGAAGAAACTTTTATAGTTTACCATCTGGCCAAAGAACCAAGGTAGTGCTGGGCCAACAGCAAAGAATCAGGATTTCATAGCAGGTTTGGAAGCATTCAATCTGCCACTTACTGGAGCCCTGGGGGCTAATTTTACTAAAACTGTGCGTGTGGCCCTGGCCGGGTGGCTCAGCTGGTTGGAGCATCGTCCTGAACACCAAAAGTTTGTAGGTTCAATTCCCAGTCAGGGCACGTACCTAGGCTGTGGCTTCATCCCAGGTTGGGGCATGTACGGGAGGCATCCGATTGATGTTTCTCTCTCATATTGATGTTTCTGTCTCTCCTTTCTCCCTCCCTCTCTCTCTAGAAAAAAAATCAATAAAAATGTGTGTTTGTGTGTGCGTGTGTGTGTGTAATCCATGTTGATAAAAAAAAAAAAAAACCTGAAAAGGCAAAATATCCTATCTCTTTCTCTTTGGCCAGGGCTCAATGTGAATTATTAATGTAATTGTTATCAACTATGGTAATATTAATTAGACTAAGTATTGCTTACCTAGAGCTTTCAGGTTTACAGAATTATCAACCCTGGCAGTATCGTTATGTGAGAGATATTAGTCATATTTTTTTTTTTTTTTTTAATTTTTTTTTTTTTTTATCCTCACCCGAGGACATTTTTCCATTTTTTTTTTGTTCAGGTAGAGTGGGAGGGAGAGAGAGGAATAGAGAGAGAGAGAGAGAGAGAGAAACATCGATGTGAAAGGGACACATCGAGTGGCTGCCACCCGCACGACCAACCAGGGCCGGGGACAAACTGCAACCGAGGTACGCGCCCTTAGCGGGAACTGAACCGGGGTCTCTCAGGACCGCAGGCCGACGCTCTAACCGCTGAGCCAAACCGGCCAGGGCAAGATATTAGTCATATTTTGCAGTGAAGAAATTGAGGTCCTGAGAGGTTAAGTAGTTTGCTTCGGGTGAATGTCATACATGTGTCCAGGCTGGGGAGGGGAGGGTGGAGGAGAGGAATTCCACAAATTCTGCTTTGAGGCGCGTAGGCCCCTCCTGCAGGAAATCCCTGGCCCGTCACACCTGGGTAATGAAAAGCTCTGCCCTCTGACAGTGTAAAACCAGGCCTTTCGAACTGTTCTGATGCAAAACAGAACTCAAGTTTTTCCACAGGCATCCTTTCATTTGACTCTCACCAAAAACCCATCCGGGAGAAGCGGCTGAAACCAGGTTCATTGCTTTATGAAAGGCAAATCCAGGGATGAAATAAACTGTCTGCTTCCTTTTTGGCCATGTTTCTGGAGAACTACAGAAGCAGTGTTTAACCTTGGCATATGAATCGCATGTGGTCATAAGACGCCCTCAGGATCAGCATCTTTGGTTTGTCCTTCCTTCACCTGGGTGCCTGCATCTGGGACTAAAAACATGAAGTCCCAGCCTGACCCTCAGGGAGCTCACAGAGTTTAAACAGGACGTTTTGGGGATCCTGTGACTGGGTCTCACCAGCCTAGCAGGAGGGCACTGCCCAGGAAAGTGGACAGACACATCAACACATCTGGCCAGTTCCAACAGCTTTAATTCTGGGGTGACTTGTGAAAAGAACTGTAAATACATTATAGTCTAACCAACATTGTAGTTTATCCCAGTGAGAAAATCCAATCTAACACATGACTGTTGTGTTTTGTTTTATTCTGTTTAATTGTTTATGTGCCTAGTCACACATGTCAAATAAATTTTAAGAGAGTTAGCAACAGAAGAATTGTTGTAAGTATTAGTATTTATGCAGCAGAGACATTTATTGGTTCCCTCTAGAACATGAAAAATGAGGGCAAACCAAGGCTGCGTGTGGAGTATAAAGAAGGTGAGAGAGCACAGCTGTCCTTCGTTGGAAGGTAGGTTGATGTGGCGGTGTAAGTTCTCGCCTATGGTTTTGACTTTCTCAGTTAATTAGGACTAAAAGTCATCAGCAGAAGTGAGGACAGAGGAGAACAAAGGAAATAGCCATCAAGGTAAGAAGGGGAATAAACTGAAAGTAGTTTGGGATGAGAGCCATTCCTACTGGAAGCCCACATCATCAATGGCAGAAGGTCCGATTCGCCGGCTCGCCCGTGCGTCTTCTCCAGCCTCGCGGACCTGCAAGGAGCCCGCAGCCTGCACCAGGTGCAGAACTGGGCTGGGCCGCAGCCGGTGCGCCAGGCCAGGGCCAGCGACAGCGACAGGGAGGCAGGCGATTGTGGAGTATGTCAGGGAGAGGAAGGGAGCTATGTCCAGGGAATTCGATTTTGTTTTTGCTAGAAAACTTCATGGAGGAATTGTTGTTGGAATCACTCCGCAAAGCACGAGCAGGTTTTAGACGTGAGTAGAAGGGAACAGCACTCTAGGTGGGGGTGAGCCTCAGCGAGGAACACGCAAACGGCAGCGAGCGTGCAGAGAGCGGCGTGCAGAGAGCGGCGTGCAGAGAGCGGCGTGCAGAGAGCGGCGTGCAGAGAGCGGCGTGCAGAGAGCGGCGTGCAGAGAGCGGCGTGCAGAGAAGTGTGCAGAGAGCAGCGTGCAGAGAGCAGCATGCAGAGAGCAGCGTGCAGAGAAGTGTGCAGAGAGCGGCGTGCAGAGAGCGGCGTGCACGTAGCGGAGGCCGGAGTGCACACGACCAGGCCGCCGTGCGGAGCGGGGATGGTAAACACGTCCTCCCTCGGAAGGGCCAGAGAGGAGCGCATCAGGCTCTGAAGGTCTCGCGGGGACTGTCATGAAGACGTGACTCCGCCACTCGTGTGCAAGCAGCCACGGAGGACGCATGAATGGGTGGGTGTGGCCATGTGCCCATGCAAAGCAGACAGTCGGTGGATCTGACCCACGGTTTACAGTGTGCAGACCTGTGACCCCGGTGGATCTGTGCGCACTGGGGTACAGCAGAGAAACCCACACCTTTGACTGTCTCCGACTTGCCTGTCACCGAGAGCACTAGCTGTTTTCAGTAATTGCTTTCCAGCTGCCTTCAATTGACACCACTATTATGAAAATGTCA